TAATCTAAACTGTAACTATAAAATGTGATACCACATCTCGATTTTAAGGTTCAAATGAAATTCTCAAACCAACCAATGAAGTCTCTCTCTCTCTCTCTCTCTCTCTCTCTCTCTCTCTCTCTCTCTCTCTCTCTCTCTCTCTCTCTCTCTCTCTCTCTCTCTCTCTCTCCCTCTCTCTCTCTCTCTCTCTCTCTCTCTCTCTCTCTCTCTCTCTCTCTCTCTCTCTCTCTCTCTCTCTCTCTCTCTTCCCATACTGTACCTCTGCTCTGTGCTATTTTGTAATGAAACGATGAATGTATAGAGTTGACAGGAAGCCTCAAAGTGGTCAATAAATGGATGAATAGAAACATAAGACCACCTTAAAGAGGCAGCTAGATAAAGGCTTCGTTATTTCTTCCATCTTTAGACACAAGTATTGTCTTATATTTAAGAAATTGTAGAAAATTCCATCTTACCAATTTTTCACGTATTCTTAATCATTCTTTGATCTTTTCATTCCTGCTCATTTTCATTCATTTATCCCATCATTCACACATCAAACCATTCATTCATCCCTCTATTCTTTCAACTTCTCGTTCTTTGATCCGAGCACATAAGTTTACCTTCATTCTTCATGTTCATCATTTTTTTTCAGTTGGGAGGCGCAAAGGGTAAAGCCAAGAAACAGAGGAAAGAATATCTGAGCATCCTGCTCGAGGAGTGTGTTCAAGATCACTGCTGGGGCACCGAATTCGAAGAAGGCCTTTGTCACGAATTGCAATCCAATATTGAAGAGGTGGCTCATGATTTGGGACTTCCACTTAATGAACTTGATGTCATGTGGCGCGAGTTTGCGGGCTGTGGTAAGTGGCAACAATACTTTACTTTACCCAGGAAACTGAGAAAGTGTCCGAGTGTTCTGGGGTCTGCTGGTGTAATAATAATTGGAAATCGCATAGAGCATCCTGTGTTTGTGGGTTGTATATGTGTGTCTGTGGGTGTATACACATTACTTGTTAGTATATTATGTATGTATGCATTAATATGTGTCTATGTTTGTGTGTATGTGTGTGTGTGTGTGTGTGTGTGTGTGTGTGTGTGTGTGTGTGTGTGAGGGGGGAGGGTGCATCTGTATGTGTGAACTGAGAATATTTCTAAGGTCGCTCATAACCAGAATGTATCTAGTTGTGAGAGCTCGTGATTTTTTTTATTTAAAAAGTGAACAAAGGAGCTATTTTTGTGATCTCCAAAAGCATTGTACGCTTCCTTGGCTTCACTTGTATTGTGGTGTAGCGATAAGCTACTTCACCGTTGCATGCAGAAAACAAGAAGAGTCTGATTTCCGTGTTGGTGGTGTTTTTTGGTTTGTCTGCTGGGATGTTGTATCTTTCTCAGCCTGGAGGCAGAGTCGAAATAGCCTGTCTGCTAAATAATCTAACTCTTTTTGTCTATTGGAGTGTAAAAGCAACTACAATAACACTTTTTGTAAACTTGGTCTTCTGCAGAAAAAGCTCCAGATAGAACATGTGATGGCAAACCAAACAGTCACTTCGAGGCTGAAATGCTGGTCGAATGCCAGCCATCATGTTCTTCTCCCAACGAAGTGTGTACTGACCTCAAACTTGGCTCTGGATGCGTGTGTGATGATGGTTACTTCCTCAACAATGATTTGGACTGCGTGCCAGAAGAACAGTGCGAGAGACAGTGTGTTGTAGAGCTGGAAGATGGCGAAGTTATGACTTTGAAGGTAACGGTTCAACAACTTTGAACAATAACGTATCCTTACGTGTCATTTTGGGCAATTATTACGTACGTAGTAAAATGCACAATTAGCAATAAGAAGACCTTGCAAAACGTTACAATCGACAGGTTCTACATTAATGTCGTGATCATTGACTCTCTGTTTGTCTTCACCTGAAAATACAGTAACAAAGAGTTATTTTTTTATCAGCATATCTTACGAGCCACCCACCACCACCCCCTGCCCCAAAAAGCAAACGAAAGTCTTCAAAACCAAACCATGAAACATTACGGATGTACTAGCTCTTTCCACTGGAGTCAGTACATAATCTTGAAATTTTCAGTCCATTCTTATAAATTGAACAGTTGGATGGTTGTAAGACTATTTTTAAAATATTCAAACTATTTTCTTGCCCTTTTGTACATAAAGTTTTCTTTATGGAATATACTCCTACAGTTAATGTTTATAACTTTGTTGTTGGTGATCTTTATATCAGTGGGCCTGTTGTTATAACAAATGGAACGTAAAAGAAGATGAGAAGACTGCTTTATGCCCTAACCATACATACTACACATACTATGAGTTTTCAAATGTCTTTGTTTCTAAAATAATAGCATGTTTTGTTGGTGTACACCAATAATTGATTTTAAACTCGGTTCCTAAAAGGCAGTGTTTTTTGTAAAGACATTATTTTCCCTCAGCGTGACTTTAACCTTTTTCTTTCCATCTTGGATTTACAATGATTATATAGGACGTATCATGCTGAGCAATGATGTGATGAAACATTTTCGAACCTCAAGGCTACCCACCAGCAGATGTGATCATGTCGGAGATGAACGACAAATACTAACAATACTACTAAATTTATACGAGCGCCTACACTTCTCTTAAATTACTTTTTATGCAGGATGGAGAAACGCAAGTTGCAGAAGCTTGTATGAGAATGGTTACCTGCAAGGCTGGAGTAATCAAAGATGATTACACAGACGGGTGCTCACCTAATGCACGTTGCAGCAAGGACGGAACACGTTGTGTCTGCAGACGTGGCTATGTCGGAGACGGGAGGACTTGTGAGTTGAGATGATTATAAATAAGATTGTGAGAGAAATCTTTCGAAATGTTTGTGTTATGAATTTATTGTAAAAATAAAGTAATTATCCAGTCTTGATGCATCTTGCAATTTCGGACTTGTCTTGGTAAATTACTAGATGCTGGCTGGTTCCGTTCAAAATCGGTACTTAGTGTCGTTAACTAGGTACCTAAGACTGTATAAAAAGCCAGCGAGGATTTTCACACCTCAAAATTTATATTTTCTTTTTGACACGAGGATGTAGATATGTTTAACAGCTAAAGGATGCTAATTGTGATAAAATCGTGTATTTCTTTTCCTTTCTAGGTGAGGTTGATCGTTCTTGTAGAAAAGGTTACTACGCCTATGGCAACATGTGCTACAAACTGGTAACAAAGAAAATGGACTGGCACATGGCTGCCATTACCTGTGGTGCTGATGGCGCACAACTGGCCAGGTAAACTGTTTTCACCATCAAAGAAAAGTAGGGAAAGTACACCGGTGTTTACGCGTATAGTTTACTGTGCTGAAAACATCATTGCACATACTCATCACCAGAGGTGGGAATATTTTTCTCAATAAGATATATGAGGCATCGGGGTAAAATCAGGTGCTCATCAAAATAATGAAATCGAAGAAAACATTATTTTTTTCTGTTTGACAATTTTGTATCAAATTTTTATTTTTTGGCTCAACACCTTTTGTGTCCCTTAAAAAAACTTTTGCTTTGTGGCTTTTACTGAAAAACGTAGATTTAAGTCACAGTTAATGTGAATTTACAGTTTACAAGGACTCTCATGCTTTGGAAGTCCCCAAATTTTGGCTGCCATTTTCTCTCTAATTTTACCTCTGAAACCAGGTGACCCCCACTTCCCGCAATCCGAAATATATCGACTTCTATTGAAGATATATGGGTGATATTTCATCAAAAGCAAGACAAATAAACAGGCTTTAAGATGATACCAATAACTACTCCATATGCCCAAAATTTGACGAGCACCTGATCCCACCGCACCATGACACATATACCAAAAGTTTAATGCAGCAACATTTACATTAAACATGCAATTATATTCTGTCTGACTATCTGTCTTATTTTTTCCCAGTACTAAATAAATGACCATTAAATTAATATTCATTGTGTCAATATAGAATTGATGGATCTATAAATACAGAGAGGGGGGGGGGCGAGAAGGAAAGGGAGAGAGAGAATGAGAGAGAGAGATAGAGAGAGAGGGAGATGGAAGGGGCGGACATAATATACATTTGAATATAGAGGTGAGAATACGTTGTAAATGTTAGTGATAAGGTCCTAACACTAACAGGTGTCGGCTTTGTTTTCCTCCATAGACTTGTGTTCTAATATCCAGTGCTAGGCACTCTTGGCGTAATACCGGTTCATTATGGATCGCACCATAATTTAGCCCGATTTAGAATCGAATGAAGGGAAAGGAGAGAAAGGTTGCTCATGTACTCGACTATAGTTAGACTTGTGTTTTGCCCTTTATTTGTGCATCCCTGGTGAACACTCACACAACGAAGTTTTCATAGGCGGCCATAGCAGTGCCCAGTGTAGTGTATTATAATCCAAGTCAACGGGGTTTTTTCTCCCCATTGGAACTGGGTAATATTGACTAAGTGAATGTGGAGGCTCTCGTTGCCTAGAGGTTAAGGTGTTCGCCTCTCATTCAAAGGTTCCAGGTTCCAATCCGAGTAGCCACAGAAAAAAATGTCTTCTCTAAAATTGGCTCCTGTCACCTCCTTTCCCTGCTCTCTAGCAATGTTCTGACGTCTGCTTTCGTCTCCACTTTCTGCCCCCTCCTTTGGGCTCCTGACTCTTTCTTCAGCCTTTCTACTGTTACTCTTTGGATCCTTTTTACTGCTGTCTTTCAGCCACACCACTGATGTTCTGGTAGGAAAGTTTACTCCAAGCCTTCTCGGACTAAGGCGAAAAATCTCGGAGGTCCCGCGTGCAAGTTGCGCACGTTAAAGATCCCTTGGTGGTCTAAAATTGAAAAAAGTAGACTTCGTGTGCCATCTGGGCAAAATTCAAAATTTCCTACCAATTGAAAATGTTTAATGTGTCCCACGCGCTCATATGACCTTATGCAGTTACGAGCGCAGTAAAACACTTACCCAAAAGAAGTGAATGTGACCCTTTGATACCAAGGTACTCAATACCATAACCTAGCTCTTTGCAGCCAAAACAATGCTATGTATTGCTGTGAAGAGTGGCCATTAAAATGTGAACCTTTTTTTTTACAGCAATCTCTAGTTCGGACCCCACAGAAAGACTCACATCCTATATTATAGTCATTGCCCTTTTGTGTTTGTATGCGCAATCCTCTTTCCGCTCTTCTCCTAACTTTGGTTGAAAAAGGAAAGGGGGGGGGGGGTCCTCCGTAATAAAGGAAATGTGAGTACAGTATTGGTATGTGTGTGTGCGTCTAAAGTAACATTGTTTATAGTTTGAGGTTTGGGTTTGTTTCTTTTCAGATATGACGGTGAGGACGACCTTGAAGTTGAGAAATTTGCGGTCAAGGCCCGTCGTCTGTTACTGTCGTCTAAAGGTAACGGTTGTTTTTTTCTATTCTTACGATTCACTAGTGTTTTTGTCCGGTTGAGTAATGCCGTCCTGTTGATGGATGCTCTTTGTGCTTCTTTTCTTGAAAATTATTGTTTGTGTCTTTTAACTGGGAAAAATGTGGCAATTATCTTATCCTCGAATACATGTCCATGGGTGAACGACATTATTTTTCTTTATTTTTTGTTTTCGGGAATAAAATAGGGATGACGTAAAAGCCAAATTATCAGACTCACAGAATAATTCATTTATTTTGAAATAGAGACTCAAGGCCGACTTCACATAAAGCAGGTCATGAAATACTGATATTGACCAAAACCTAGTACTGAGTCATCGACAAAAATTTTACAGTACAGAAATTGGAAGCAAAGTCAAAATCGAAGTACGGCTGTGTCGCCCGCACTTAACTCCCACCAAATCTTCAATACTACTTTTTTTCAACCCCATGTCTTTTATCTGGACCTAGTTTTTCACCTTTCAAAGAGTTAAACTTAATTTTTGTGTTTAATACGGTCTAGGTATTAAGTGTCAGCAAAATGCAAGGATTTTAGAGAGGGGAAGAGAGTTAGATATATATATATATATATATATATATATATATATATATATATATATATATATATATATATATATAGAGAGAGAGAGAGAGAGAGAGAGAGAGAGAGAGAGAGAGAGAGAGAGAGAGAGAGAGAGAGAGGGGGGGGGGGTTCTAACATGGCTACCTACAAGATGAAAGGGAAAAAGACACATTATCCCTTTTATACATGCAAGAGCGCGCGCGCGCGCGCGCACACACACACACACACACACACACACACACACACACACACACACACACGCACACACACACACACACACACACACTCACACACGCGCGCACACACACACACACACACACACACACACACACACGCGCGCGCGCTCGCGCGCTCGCGCGCCTACTCATATACTCTTATGTTCACTACTTCACACGAGTGCACACACATACGCAAGTATGTATACATATGAAAACAATTACGTCTGAAACTACCATCAAGCATCCATCTGTTTCCATCAGCAAAGACAAGACGCATCAAATGCAAAGGCGGGAAAAGCTGCAAAGTCAAAAAGGGAAATGAAAGGATTCTCAGCGTCAAGATTGCATCTTCTAAGAACAGAAAGGCATGTGATGGCAACTACAAGATTTCCAACGACCTTCGAGCTATTGTAGTGACAGGAAAGTGCAAAGCCAAATTCTCCGTCCTTACGGTTAAAGGTGAGTGCCATCGTCAGATATTGTTACCCTAAGTGTGAGTATGTTGCCTCTTTTTTCATGATATTTCATATACTTTTATTAATAAACTAAAAGCCCATGTATTTACCTTTCAGTGTCTTCTTGAATCATAATAATGCCTTCTCTGCCTCGATCAATCAGTTCGTTTTGACTACTTGTTGAGTGGTCGTGATATAGATCTATTAGTTATTCTTCATTAAATCTGAAGTATTTGTTATAAGGTTATATAATACAAAACAAGCTGTTAGATAAGTTTTGCCTCTGTGTATTTTCACCCCGAATTATCTGTGGAGATATGCAATATTTCATTCCATTATCCGCTTAGAGCTGTAATTTTGATTGGCAGTTATATATTAACAGTCTTATTTTAGTTTAATTATTACGAGGACAAGGAAATATTTCGCTTTAGGCTCATCGCTACTGTCACTCGTCATCGTCGATCTAATACATTGCTCTATATTTCTTTGTTTTACAGCAAAGAAGTTGAAAGAACGCAAGAACAAAGGTAAGACATTCGTGTAAAAATGAAATGAGCTGTTATTTTGTGTGTGGTCCTTTCTGAAACATTTATTATGTTTTCCAACTCTTATTCGCAAATCCTTACACTTCTTTATCATTGCTTGGCTTGGTGTAGAATGCTTTAAGATCTTCGATTTGTCAGTTTTTAGAAAATAAGCTTATTCAAGAAAGTATGTACTTAATTTGTGTATAAGTATTTCACATCTTTTAAACGTTTCAAACTGTGCTACGTATAGCAAAATATGAGTTCAGATGATCCTTAAGTTGTTGTGACATTTTGACATTGAGCTCAAATCCCTTCGTTTTCTTTTCCACAGCTTTCTGGATAAGTGGAAACTCCAGAGTTATGGGTTTCGGCGTGAGAGAAGGCAAAGTTCCCTACCAAGTTGATCTTCCAGGACTGGTCAACCCTGATGACTTTGCAGACAAATTTGGCTGCTTTGCAGGACAAATAAATAAAAAGAACAAGTTCATCGTGAAGGTTTTTGGAAAGTGTGAAAAAGCACTTCCATTCATCTGCCAATATGGTAAGATGGATTACCAGTCCAAAGTTGCAAACTAAGTGATTAAGCTGAAATGCCTTTAATGCTTTAATGTTTTCTTGTAGTTATTTATAATATGCAGAACCATTCAATAAACATGTTTGTTATATCAGACTGTAACCTGAAAATGGATACTATGGTTATTTAAAACTTTTGCATCCCTTTGGTAAAAATATTTCACTGACATCCTGACAATAAGAGAATATGAACCAATGTTGCACTAATGTAATATTTGGTGGTACGCTTTAAACTTTTGGGAAAACATTTTTTCTTCTTTTGCCCTCGATATTCAACAGTTGACATGTACCTGGCGTTTGATGTATTTGATATTTCACCCTTCTTTAAATCTAGAGTAGGCACAATCTTTTAAAAGGTAAATGGGTGCATATAGCGCTCAAATATCATGGTAATTGTTATGATGTGTAATTTTTCTCAATTATAGAGAGGAGCAGGCATTTTCCCCTGAGTTCATTTCTGTACCTTAGTTTTGTTCTAGTTTAGTGGGAACTGGACGGGAGGATTTTTCTTAAAGAATTCTGCCAGTCTTCATCTCTGAGATCAGAAACTTAATTCACAGATAAATGTACTTTTTGGATTTGACAAATTCTATGTCTGTGTTTTTCCCCAGAAAACACTAACTCAGACCCATACGGTAAGTAACTGTACAACATCATTATATCGTTTTGATTTGCATAATTCAGTGCGACCTTCTTCTATTACTATTAATTTAAAAAAGGGTCTACACAATAAAGTGATACATAATATATAAATGAGTATTAGTGCTCGAGCGTAACCGTCAGCAGAAAACGTACTGAAGTTGTAAAAAAAAAGGAGAGGGTTGGAATGAGAGAGAGAGAGAGAGAGAGAGAGAGAGAGAGAGAGAGAGAGAGAGAGAGAGAGAGAGAGAGAGAGAGAAATAGAAAGGGGGTGGGGGTGGGGGGAGGGAGAGGTAGAGAAAGAGAGATTGGGGGGGGGGGGAAGAAACAAAAACACGTCTCAAGTTTTCAACAAAATTACTTCTTATGTAGACTGTGCAGCAGTAAGAAAGGATCTTATTTCATCTTATCATCCCATACATGTACAGTTGTAGTTCCCTGCTCATCCTCAAAACGCCAAAGAAAGTTTGTTCTTTTTGTGGTTTGTCAAAGATATATACATATTCATTCATTTCTCGGAAGGAATGCTATAATATTTTTCCATTTTTAGATCCTAATGACGTTGTGGGAATTACCCAGAAAAACAACCAACAAGGTGCTGTGGAAACTTGCGCCGAGGCGGGAAGACCTTTGCTCAAAATCACAACTGAAGAACAATTCAGCAGAGCACGTAAAATCTTGTCCAAGGAACTCAGGTAACTTCTTCCGACATTTCAAAATGCAATTGTCCAAGGAAAATGCGAGGGTGAGCCCAGGCGTAAGGGTTGGGGCCTTAGAGATGGTGAAATAGTTGAAGAAGAACTCACTTTTCAAAGAGAGCGGGCATGCAGGGGCTTGTTTTGAGAGATAATCCAAGCTTTCAGATCAGACACAGGAGAATTTATTAATATGGTAATTCTAAAAATAGCTAAGAAAACTCACGTCTTGTTCTTTATTGTTTCTTTAGGTGGGTTTTATCAATTATTTCACTGATATGATAAGCTCCAGCTCTTCTTAGCTGCATCACTTCCGGGACAGAAGAGCAATTACTTTTTTTTTGGGGGGGGGGGAGAATGGTGATGGGTTGGATTAATTCATAAAAACTTGAATGTCTATGATGAACGTCTTTCCGCTTGGCAGAGAATGTTTATTGTTGAAGTCCACACTCTTAAGAACTACTTACTTGTCTTTAAAAGAAACGTTGACTTGGAGAAAAAATTGAAATGCAACAGTAAATAGCAAATGAATTGGTGAACTACAATTTTAATTTTGGATTTTCAAAGACAAGCAAAAATACTGATGATGTTTATGACAGTGTCATGTCAAATTCAGACGACTACAAGTTGAAAGATTTTTTTTGTTGTGAAACATTAGCCTAAGGCCTGACATTCCTGAATGAAATAGCGTGGCATTGAGTCAGCCAGACAAATTGAAAAATGAACAGATTTGATACTTCCCTGGGTGTTTTGTTCTCTTCCCTGTCTCCAGAGGCGACGCCTGGATTGACCTTATGTGGTCTGCTGACGCGGAAGCTTTTGTGTGGTCTGACGGCACTCCAGCCACCTTTGCCAAGTGGAAGAAAAATCCAAGAGTAAGACGATTAACCTCTACTTTTAATAGAAATATACACGTTTTAGTACATTCACTATGTGTTTCATGTTTCTTTTTCATGAACGTTGATTTCTTTAAAAATGACAGCCTCTTCTGGAACATTGACTCTTATTATCACGTCTTTAAAAAAATAATAAAATCAACTTTCAAACTAAATACATGTATTACACTTCATAAAATCCGAAGAATTCACTGCTGTGGGCGCTTTGGAAAAGGTACCAGTGTCCTCCGAGCCTTAGAAAGTAACAACACTGATGTCACCTGTGGACAGACCATGTTTGTGATGCGTGATCTTCTGCCTTTACAAAGTCTGTTGTTCTCTTAACTGATGTCAGAAATGTATTGTCATGAAAGCAATGTATTCAATTTAGATTCTAATATTGAGAAGATAATCATAACGAGTTTAGTTTCTCATAAAAATGCTTTTGATAAGAACAACAAATAGCCCTGTTTGCTCCACCTTAGCCAGTGTTATAGATGTGATTGATTATGCTCGATTCAAAGAGACTGCCTTGTTTTAGCCTCATCTGTCTTCACTGTGAATAATAATAATAATGGGTTTTTTTCTGCAGCCCAAGAAAGGAGGCAAGGAAACCCACTGCGTGGCTATGAACAGCCGCAAAGGATTCTGGTACCCAGAAAAGTGTCGCAAGAACAAATTTGTTCTCTGTGGACCTCCAGGTAAAATACAGCCCCGTCAATGTAATAATTCCTATACACATGAACATTTTTTGTCAAATTAAGCTGACCATAAAGTAAGCTGAAGATTGTGTTATTAGATATTAGAATATATGTGAGTTATAAGTGGAAATCTTACATTTCAATCGCGAATCTCCTCCTTGGTGACAACATATCTGTATGTGTGTGTGTGTGCGCGCGCGTGTGTGTGTGTGTGTGTGTGTGTGTGTGAGTGTGTGTGTGTGTGTGTGTGTGTGTGTGTGTGTGTTTCAGTTTGACTCTTACCAAACAGAGTGTCAAAACAATATAGCTGTAAGAGTGTTAATCTCAGAATCCCATTTTCTCTTTTAACATTACTATCTATAATGCCATATCTGCTAAATACCGCCCTGAGTCTTTGGCACTTTGGCTGCAGTATTTCTAAATCCCTGATACCACCCTGTATTCCACAGACAACATTGTACCAATGGCGTACACACCACCATTCCCCGTCAAGGGCGAGAGCTCCCTGCCACAGATCAAACAACAGCTGCTGAATCTCGGTGTGAAGGTAAATACACCTTTAATAACTTCAGTAAAACAAAACCCCAAAATTGTAATTAACGTGGGTTTTTTTTGGTAATATAATAAATGCTCATAATAATATTATGTTCACGAAGTCCAATGTTTCAAAACAAACAAGTCACAACATTATAACTCATCTCCACAGTGCCCTCTCTGCAGAGCATTGGGCGACACTAATTCTTCTGTGGTGTTCAGGCCACTGAACCACTGTCGCCCCGGGAATGCAATAATAATATTTGAACTGTGGCTAGTTTGTTAACTAATGTCTCCTGACATCCTCGATGAGTCGCTGCATAGTGTCTTTTCTTTGTACCGACATCTCCAATGGAAAAGAAGGGAAAGGATTTGAGATCAGAGCAGTGACTGCCATAAAGTTGAAAACTCTCTACCTGAATTAAATTAGCTGCCATAAAGTTGAAAACTCTCTATCTAAATTAAATTAGCTCGTGTGATTTAATATTTTTAAAAATTGCACGAGTGCTTGGGGAAATGAGTTCAAATTTCAGACGTCCTCACTCTGATGTTTTGGTCACCATTTTAACCACTACGCTGTCCTCTCTCATTCATGTTTTATGCATTAAAAACTAATGCCGTTAATGCTTGTTTACCGTTCAAAGCCAACGGAGATACAGGTAAGTTAACATCGTATTGCACATATTTCTTGCACCGTTTCTCAAGAAAATATAGGCTACCGCACTATTTTCCATGCACAGCCTGCACTCTTCCATTTATTTGTCCTCGTTACCATATTATTATTATAAAGCCTGCTTATTTTTTTCAACAGCATTACATTGTTCGGCTCAAATATGAAGCTTCAGCTCGATCAATCACAGTCCTGCCTTCTTGCCGGACAAATTTGAAACTTTCAAACTCCAAGCCCGTTCTATTTTATCTGCGATACTTTCGTGCCACTGCATTCTAAGGGTTTTCTTATGTTTTACAAAGCAATTTGAACTCTTTTGTCTTTATACTTATACCCAGTGCACACTATTGTTTAAGTGTCGCAAAGTATCCATTTGTTACTTTCGATACATTTGATTGGATGGTCAAAAGCTGTCATTTTGACATAAGTGACTATTAATCGATTGAATCCTTCGAAATCAAAAGCGTTTGTTTACGCGGTCAAAGAACTGATGCGTCTTATACAAACTGCCCATCAGAAGGCTATTATTATGTACTACAGGATCATAATATCTTCTGTTTGCGTGCTAATACGATATGGCCTATTTGGACTCCAGATTATATTAATTTGATGATGCAAGACAGGTTAATTTCTTATATCGTGTGCACTGGCGCCACCAGTTCACGTGCTGAGTACCAATGAGCGTCTGCTATTAGACTCGTGCTATATTCCTTGTATACATTATGGAATGCTTTTGAACCCACTGCATTCACGTGTATCTTTGATTTGATTGTTCACTTTTATCGATTCTGTTCGTGAACTCACGCCAATTTGCCTTTGAACACATTCATGAAGCACTTTTATCCCTTGATGCACACCACTTTTTTCTCTCTTGTTGCGCGATTTGATTTTTATCAATTCTTGCTCTAAAACTGGGATTCTTTTACACCTTATTTTCCCTTCACTATTAAGCGTGGTTTTTCCGTGCACTATTATGTGTGGTTTTTCCGTGCACTATTATGTGTGGTTTTTCCGTGCACTATTATGTGTGGTTTTTCCGTGCACTATTATGTGTGGTTTTTCCGTGCACTATTATGTACTACACTATTATGTGTGTTTTTTCACGCACTATTATGTGTGTTTTTTCAGGCACTATTATGTGTGGTTTCTCCCTGCACTATTATGTATGCTTTTCCCTGCACTATTTTGTGCGTTTCGTTTTGTTTATACGCTCTCTGATTACCTCACTCCTTGCACCGAAGTGTAGCTCATGCTGACCAAAAAAGTTTCTGAAATGCTTGAGTCCAAATGCACATATTTTTGTTCTGTTCTGCTGTACTGCGTAATCATCCATGATGGTTTTGCACTTAAGCTTCTGAAAGTCTTTCCTATTTGCTTGTTTGTATTAATACACGCATCGTATTTCTTTGCTGTTCGATCCAATCAGTGTTGCCTTTGTGCGCATTGTGTCTTTGAAAATAACGTGCTGCCGGCATGTCTTTAGCATCTCACACAATTTAAAGATTAGGCCTTAGACCATCAAGTATAGCATTCGACCGCCACTACAGTTGCGGCTAATCTAATCAAAGACAATTTTGTTGTCGCTACATCTTTGAAATATATCAACAATATATATATATATATATATATTCAAAAGATGAGTACTAGTCATACAACTGTCTTTATCTTCTATAATGTCGCTACGTTCTGTGCATTTAAATTGTTACTTGTATTGTGGCTGCAAAACTACGTTTATCAACGGTAACTTTATTTCTGATTTTGATTATCTCTATTACTGCACATAAGATGTCTTTGTTTTCCAGAAAAGTATTTATTTTTTTATATATTTTCCCCCTCTATTTGTTCTTCTGTTTCGGAAACATTTCACTTTCGTTATGACTTTTCTCTAACACTTTTAAGTCTCCCAAAACGCTTGTTCATCTGTGATGCCAGCTTTTGGCGCCTCTCGTGGAGAGTGCAGTTATGTTGAAGCTCCGAGTCAGATGACGCTTACCTGCTCCCTCAAAGCTGAAACATAAAATGTCCTTATACGATTCTCTTTATGATCTTTTTGAGGTAATATTATGCGTAATTTACCTAATGATCTACTATCCTTGTGTGAGCCTATAACAACGAAAATGAGTCCTTGCATTCCACTTTTGATAGATACATATATATATTTTTTTTATTTTTTAAGATATATTATTATATGTAGAGCGATTGTGTTGGATGTCTTTCGGGTTCTCTTTTGAGTGGTCGAGCTACTTATTCTTCCCAGGGAGTTGAGATTATTTTAGAATGCTATCAGGTCTACTGGGGTTATAGTACAGATTGTAAAGCGCAAAGAACTTGTTGAGCGGGAATTTGTGTTATACAAATGCTATCTATTATATCATCATCATTATTCGTTTAAACACAACAACAAAAAATGATTTAAACACAAAAACTGACCTCGTATTGTGCACTGCTGTGTCTTGCATGAAATTTCAGATCTTGGTATCTTAGCATTGTTTCCTGTATGGCAATAGCAGTCATGACAACACGGACCGATACAGAGACATTATGTTGTTTAGGTTATGTTTGCTGCTAATTTTGTTTCTAAGAAAAGAGCAACAATGCCAGATAGCTGTTCTTTGGCCTCATGAGTACAAAACGTAGTCAACAGGCCTCTTCTGTTTTACATTTCTGCATGACCTGTTGAGATAGCCTTACAAACATCTCAACGATTAAACTCTCCACGTACCCTTTCAACATCGCAAACATTATTTAACAATTATCTGTACTTTGTGTGTTGTCAATAAATGTGATGAAATGTGGTTGAATTGGCCAGACGGTTGTGATGAGTTTTGTGAATACAAAAATAAAAGGAATGCTTCTCTGTGTGTCCAGGAATACATCTGTGACAACCCACTTGAACTGAGATGCCGTGTAAAGAACAAGAAGGGCCAGTGGTTATCAACTCAAGATGGAAAGATTAAAGGAATTAAATGCAAGAAATCGGACATCTCCTGTAAGAAGAAGCGAAAGAACTTGAAATGCAACTCTTTCGAGGTTCAGTTCTTGTGCCCACAGAGTAAGTGTTTGCCGAGATTTACGCCACACACGCACACACACAAACTCGCACACACATTGACACGCATACTCACACGCGCGCACGCACACACACACACACACACACACACA